GTTGATAAAAAGGAGAATAAAGAGTGAGATAGATGGAAAGATACAGAGATAGATATATGGAGATAGATGGAGAAATAGATAGAAAGATAAGGATATACAGATAGATGAGGCGAAAAAGAAGTAGAGAGGAGAGAGAGAGAAAGAATGCGAGGGAGAGAAAAGAAAGGGTGGGAGGAAGGGTACGAAATAAAGAAAGGCCAATTAAAAACTACAGAGAAAAAGTGAAGTCGATAAAAATATGAAAAGTCAAATAGATAGATGGAGAGATGGATAGAAAGATAGAGAGAACGAGATGTACAGGCAGATGGAGAGAGAAAGAAAGAGAGAGAGACACACAGGCAGAGAGAGAGAGAGAGAGAGAGAGAGAAAGAGAAAGAGAAAGAGAAAGAGAGAGAGCGAGCGAGAAAAAGAAAGAAACAGAGAGAGCGAGAAAGAAAGAGATAGAGAGAGAGAGAGAAAAGGAATGGCGGTAGGAATTGTACAAAAGAAAGAAAGACCAATATAATATTAACAAAAGACAGAGTAAAATTGATGTCGATAAACAGATAGATAAAGAGTCAGATAGGTAGAAAGAAAGAGGGATAGACATATGGAGATGGATGGAGAAATAGGCAGAAAGATAGAGAGATAGGGATATAGAGATAGATAAGGAGAAAAAGTGAGTGAGAGAGAGAGAGAGAGAGAGAGAGAGAGAGAGAGCGAGAAAGAAAGAGGCAGAAAAATTCATGTCGATAAACAGATGGATAAAGAGTCAGAGAGATAGAGATATGGAGAAAGAGGAGAAGAAAAAGAAAGAGGGTGAAGTGTGTGTGAGCGGGGGCCACCTTGAATTAAAAAACAAAGATAAAGGAATAAAGAAAAAACGGAAAAAGTGGGAGAGGCTCAGAAAGCAATAAAACTCTAAAGTACGAAAAAAAGTAACAAATAAAATGACATAGATAGATAGATAGATAGATAGATAAATAGATTGATTGATAAATAGATATAGATTTCCCCCATTACTCGAAACCATCAGATATTGGTTTAGTAAAGTTTCTAAACAGATCTTACTTAATGACACCAAAACCTTCCACCATAGTTGGATGACAACCGACTCAACCAATGTTTTGTGCGTTGATTATTTGAAGATCGTGAGGTGCGGTCTGGTGTGACGTAGAGTTTAGAAAAGGATTTTCTTTATCGTACCAACGTTTCGATCTTTATTGAGATCATCTTCAGAGCCCAAAGTGTTTGTTTTCCGTGTAGATGTTTCATTATTGTGTGTCGTGTTGGGAGTCAACATCTCTCAACACGACACACAAGAATGACACATCTATACAGAAAACAAACACTTTGAACCCTGAAGATGATCTCAATGAAGATCGAAACGTTGGCACGATAAAGAAAATGTTTTTTCTAAAATCTACGTCATCAGACTGCATTTCACGATCTCCAAATAATAATTAACTAACGGTCACTAAACACCACACACGTTTTGTGCATATTTGCTTCCAACCAAGTTCTTGCTCAAGTTAATCAGAAAAATTTAAAAAATTAAAACTTTCAAATTTTCTGATTCGCTGCCAGAAAAAAATATGGCGTTTCATGAGTGTTCATGGCATTTGTGAAAAAATAGATCGCTTAACCATAGACCCCCATCGGTGTAAAAAGTCAATCATCCACTGCATGCAAAAACACAATTATTCAGAAAAGTTGGATGGTGACTGCATGATAGTTTGGCTCATCCATCCTTCATTTTTTACGAGATAGGAAAATGTCAGGTAACAACAATCAAGAAATTTACACAAGGTTCAAAAATTAATTTAAAAACATGACAGTTATTTAACTGTAATTTCTCAATATTAACTGTTCTAATTAGTGCCTCTTTTCATGAAATAACTATTTAAATTGAACCAAAATAGTCCATTTTGCCATTTTTCCCCTTTGATAAACGGTAAATTAAGAAGGTCATTTGTGTTTGTGTTAATTCTGTCGTAGGCTCAATTCAATGGCCCTAAATAAATCAGTCCGAACAGAATTACCACCGTGGGGCTTAGCCAGTTGCCGCTAACAGCCCCTTTCATGTGCGCGGTTTAACGTGCACTCTGAAGAGGCGCGCACTCGGGGGCGTTAAGCCAGGATCCCCGGGGACTTAATCACTCTCCAATTAACTGGACCCGTTGGCAAAACTAGTCTGTGCTTACACGGGCGCGGAGGAAGGAGGGTGTAATTACAAGCATTGAAGCCGCCCATTGAACGGAGTGCTTCATTAGTGGTGCCGACTCCAACCCTTTCCGACCACCCTCGAACGTCTCGTGGCCGTAGCCATGCCATGGCCGGGTAAAATCCTTTCTGTACAGTTACCTTTGGTCCAATTTACCAATCGTTAACTATTCAGTCAGTCGATAACGGTGAACATGTAGACATTGGAAAGCTAAGTTTCCATCAATCACGTCTTTATAGTATAAGTTGCGACAACAATTTCCGTTTTTTTTTCGTTCCTTCATTCAACAATTTCATATTTGTGCAAGAACAGCGAGAAAACAATAGAACCATTAAACTGTGATATTTCCTCTTAGCCGGATGATGAACATATAGTCAGTATATGCCTATTATGATAATTTTGATCTGCTTATTTTGGTCTGTGAGATCTAAAGACAGAATAGAAAGACCATAATGAAACGAAATTTCTAAACTTCAGACTCTTCATCCCTTAGAAGCTTCTTCATCTAGTAGCAGAAATCAACGCCTGAATAGACCATCACAGTAAGACTGAGTCCCTTCATATTTTTCTCTTTGCAAAATTTGTTCAATGTTTCTTCGGCCGCTTCCGATACACATGCCTTCTCAAGTGACTGTACCTAGTCAGGAGAACTTACAAAAATCCTGGTTCATTCTTCTATGAGTTTCGCGTATCGTCCATCCATGAATGTCATCCCATTTCCGTCCCAGGGGTGTGTACACAAGATGGTATTTACGGTGGTTCAGATCGATGGTGAACATTTGAAGTGAGCGGGAGGGAGGCCTGCTAGAGATAGAAGAAATAATTACCTAGCTTTTGCATCAATATAGATAGACCTTTACTTTTGTTAGAGCCCACTAATCAGGTTTAGGCTCTTACCCAGGTGTAGGGAATTGCTTGCGGTTTTTCCTCACCTAGCTGATGAATTCCTTGGTAGATCATCACGGTAACAATGAATTTGCTTCTCTATCTCTTCCTCTTCTCGGTATAATCTGCCTAATGTTTCTTCTGCACTATCCGATACACACGTCTTATTTGGGAACGTGGGTGTAGTAAGGAGAGTACCCAGAACCCGAATTTAATTTTGGTTGGGCAGGTGAATACTTTTGTAAGTTTAGCGAGAGGTCATATATGAACCTCAACGCTGGAGTATTGATCCACCAGGATTTGAAAAAGGAATTGATTAAGGATACTTTTTTGTCAATGTGTCCCTTTTTGTAGCAAAGTACTAAGCTACTGTAGGGTTTAAGGCAAAAAGTATTTAAACTGATTTCTCTTTTGCCCAGTATTAATACTGCTGTGTGCCAGGGAACCCAGGCGAAGATCAGATCCTACGCAACTGCAGACTCATAACGTTAACACTTTGACTGTTGCCTGTCTGTTAAAGAGTATGGCCATCTTCATTGACTGCATTCCAAGTCTTTGTATTTCTGAGGCACAGGGTTCAATTGCCTCGATTTCTGACCGAAGAACCTAGCATGTCCTACCAATGTTTATTATCAACTCCTATTCGAATATGCTTTGCACGCAGGTGTAAGCTGATCTCGATTGGCGGCTTTTACCGTAGACGGTACTCCTCTAGGGGGTGGTTAGCTATTCCACTTTAAACGAAACCGCGGCCGGAGCGGATCCGGTAATTTCTACACTAGAGAAGCCCCAATAATCTGGGAGATAGAGTGGCCTTCTCTATGTAGGGAGTGCGCGGCATACGGTATAATGCTTAATGCGGACCCGAATCGGAATGTGCAAGCGGGGAGCGAGGTTGTCTTAGGCCTTCGGAGCTAAGCTGCCTCAACACCAATGCTGCTGCAGTAACACCATTCTGTCGTATGTGGTGGTGCGTCAGCCCTCATCTGGAGAATCAAAACGTCCGATAAGGCCGAATAGGCTAGGTGCGGACGTTAAAGAACCTCCTTTTAAGGACGACCGAGTATACGGGAAAGCATGTCCTGTCAGGAGTCCAACCAGAATCCTGATCGGTTGCGGTTGCCTTCCAGCAGTCCTTCCAAAGAGACATCAACACGTCTACTAACAAACCACGTTTGCCCGCAGGAGGAAGTGTTTTGTGATGTACAACATGTACAAGAAGAAAGTTAAGTTAAAGTTAAAGTTTCTTTATTTAGTTATTCAGATATCGTGAGATGCGGTCGGATGTGATGTAGGTTTCAGAAAAACATTTTCTTTATCTTGCCAACGTTTCGATCTTTTATTGAGATCATCTTCAGGGCCTGGGATTTACAAACAATGTTTACATTTAACAAATACATTTAGGATGTGGATAAGTGAATTTATACAATGCAAAATATATTTTATATTCAAACAAAGTATTTCTACTCACTCAAAGTGTTTGTCTTCTGTGTAATTGTGCCATCCTTGTGTGTCGTGTTGAGAGTGCCAGTGAGATTTTGCTGTTTCATGTTTTTCTGAAACCTACATCACACCCGACCGCATCTCACGATATCTGAATAACTATCGATTAACGGTCACTAATCTCTACACATTTCTTTATTTACTTGTGTGCTATAGGTACAGAACGGGCGATGCAGTAGTTATCAAAGGACGCAGTATGTTGTACACCGTACATTATAGCTTAACTTGTTAAGCTCCAGTATATTTTTTAAAGTATATATAGTTTTAAATACAGCCAACCCAAGGAAAAAATATCTTGTGTTAACAACACTTGTCGCATGTGTTTTAACGAAAATAATGAAGGGCTGATTTGTTAAATCAGAGGGAAAATTGACTTTGTGTGAAATATAATTCTGTTGGATGTGCTTACCTCTCATAAAATGAAGCTGTCTTGCCATGTGCTCACGATAGAGCTGAGGAGCGTCCAAAGGGAAATGTGCGACCCAGTCGAGGCCCTTGATTTTTCCTTCTGAAACTTAATGTTAAAACAAATGAGATCTTTGTTACTTGCAGTTTTCGTGTGATCCTCACCTTCAGCTATAGCGGGCGAGGTCGATTCCTTTTTCTCCGGAGGTTTAGAACTGCCTTCGTCTTTCTGGAAAGAAAACACCCAGGATTTTTAACAAAAGGAAATATGAGAAAGTTTTTCACTTTAAAGGTTTAACTTTGGCCGAAAAGTTATAGCCTTGGAGGACAGCCGTCTCCTTTTCTCTAGGCACGATCCGGGAAAATTGAAAAAAAGGGCAAACTCGATTTTGACCCCGAGCCATGAATCCTCAGTTGGCAGGGATGTGTTTTATTCGCAAAGTTGGCTGAGTTAAAGGAGTTCGTTTACAACAAATCTCGGGAGTTTCCGCCCCTACAAATAACAGACATTCTGCGAAAAGCCCATATGAGTGAGACTGCCCGTGAAATAGAGATGTTTAAGAGGGGTGAACATCTTCCCGCCCCCTTTAGGCTTTTTTAAACCGGCCTTTTATATTCATCATGTGGACAAACATTACCGAATACGTTCAACGGGTGAAAATGCACATTCTGACGACGGATTGATTCACAGGAGTCGTGTAAAAAACTGATTCATGCTCGAGTGTTACTCGGTAAATCGATAATGAGGTAATCAAGAGGAGTGGGCTGTTATGCGACAATAAAATAGACAATTGTTCAAATCTAACTCAACCCTTTTTATGTTAATTAATTCCCATACTAGCTCGAGCCAAGCTTAATTTAATTAGCCTCTTCGATTGAAGGTTTTATTTCAAGCAAAGCTGTTTCTTTTAATAAATAATTTTGCTTCACTCGTTTACAAAAGCAGACAGATTAATTTTTATTTTATTATTATTATTATTATTTATTATTTCCTCTACATAACTGAAGCTTAATATTAAACAATAATTATTCTCAATTGGTACCCCGATAATCTGCATCTTATTAAAGGAAAATCTTCCAGGAAAACCATCAGCGGAACTCGAAACAGTGTAAGTCCAAAAAGGAAATCTATGGCTCCTAAAAAGTAGGATCCACAAATCCACTTCGTCAAGCAGTGCAGCATAGTGGTCCGCGAGCTAAAAAAATGGAGCCAACGTTGTTAACCCTGGAAGTATATGAAAAAGGAAAAGGAATGGATCACAAAAGGAAATCCGGGCATCGAAAAATTGGATCCACTAATCGAACATAGTGAGTGGTCGGAAGAGTGGTCCATGAGCTGAAAGATTGGAGCCAACACTGGTAACTCTGGACTATAAGCAAGACGTTGATGAATGCAATAAGAAAAGACACTCTTTGGCTCCTCAAAAGTATGATCCACCAATCCACTTCGTCATCCAGAGCAAGATAGTGGTCCACGAGCTAAAAGATTGGAGCCAACTGTGCTAACTCTGGAGCAGATGAAAGACGTTGTTGAGTGCGTTTAAAAAAGGCACTCTATGGCTCCTCAAAAGTAGGATCCACCAATCCACCTTGTCATCCAATGCAGGATAGTGGTCCGCGAGTTTAAAAAAATGGAGCCAACTTTGTTAACCCTGGAAGTATATGAAAGAGGAACAGGAATGGATAAAAAAGGAAATCCGCGTCTTCTAAAAATTGGATCTACTAATCGAACTTATCACCTAACGCAAGATAGTGGTGCCACGAGCTAAAAGATTGGAGCCAACGGTGCTAACTCCGGAGTATATGAAAGATGTTGAGGAATGCACTAAGAAAAGGAAACCTATGGCTCCTCAAAAGTATGATCCATCAATCCTCTTCGTCATGCAGTGCAGCATAGTGGTCCGCGAGCTAAAAAATGGCGCCAACTTTGTTAACCCTGGAAGTATATGAAAGGGGATGAGAAATGGACGAGGAAAGGAAGGTTGATTGATCAATGCTCTATTTGTCTGACATTTAATCTTGTTATCAATGCCAAAAAGGATATTAGCACAAAACAAGATAATCTGGCCGGAAATTCTCAAGAATTTGGCTCCAAATAATAGCCATGGTACTACAGCTCTTCATGTATATTACACGTAAGCTCTGCATTATAAACCGAGAGTAAAATATGGTATGGCTATATGGATGAATTTTCTTTCTTTCTGCGGTTTTCTGCTACATGTTCTTTTGACCAAGTCTTGGCCGCATTCTAACACTCGTCTCTATAACCTGACAGTAACTCTCATTTTTATCGAAGAATTTGCATTGTTGATCCGATTGTACTTTTTCCACGGTGGTGTTGACCAAAAATAATTTTTCTATAGATATGTTTTTTGCTATTAATTCCTTTGATTTGTTCTTTATCTTTCTTTTCAAATTTCGCAAAGAGGTACTTATACAGTCTGAGTCCAGTGAATATCATTTCCTTGCAATGACTTCTTTTCTAAGATGCTATTTCATAGTGGACCAAACCTGAATGGTTAGAGCGTCTGGGTGCTGGGTTCAAACCCCGGTATAGCCCAATGTATTTTATTTGATATTAATTTGAAAAAATGTATAGTAAGTGGTTTGACACCTGGTCTGCGCCTCCAACGGGTAGTTGGGCGTTAATACCTCCTACGTACGACAGAAATTACTTTACTTACTCCTTGATAGTATGGTTGGTTTGGATAACCCTTTTCTGCCAGCGTCATCCGGCTCTTCATTTGTCTCTACATGTCCAATAGAAAGAGGCTGTATTTGGCATACCTAATATATTTAATTTGACGTTATAATTCGCCATCTTCAACCTGATGATATCTGAGTTTAGTGCTCAGATGGATGATTGCCTACTTGATATAGTTCAGTCTGAATTGAGTACATTTCCAACTGCATGGACTCCGGTTTGAAAGATGTGTGCCCATGAGTGTTGATTACTTAATTTCGTGGCCAAATTGTCTTTTTGTACCTTCCCAGGCTACAGATTCATCGGTATACCAATAGGTTATACCAATTTTTACAATCCATTTATGTTTTGTGGTCTAATTGACCAAATTACTTATTTCAATTAATTATTCTTTTTATGTAAGATCATGGTTGAGATGAAAAAGTGCCACGAATGGGATTCGAACTCACGACCTTCGGCTCAATATATCGCTGCTTTAACCACTTGAGCTATCGTGACTTCGATCCCCAACTCACCTCAACCTACAACCGTTCGAATTTTCCCTCTTTTTGCCATATTTTCAAATGTATAATCTGGATTCGATTCTCAACGACTTATGAAGTGGCCACGGGGAGAGGTTCGAAAGCTCAAGTTGTAGAGCAGCGGCGTATTGAACCGAAGGTCGTGGGTTCGAATCCCGCTCGTGACACTAATTTTTTATCTCAGCCAAAAACCTTAGATAAATATAATAATTAATATTGTCAATAATGGCCACTAAGCAAATATGGAGTATGTACTGTTTAGGTAAAGTCAAAAACGCTTGTAGTACGGCAGATTTTATTTGTGGAAGACGCCTTTCACTCACCTTGTAAACATCATCAGCTTTCTTTAAACAAAACAAAAGAAAAAACAGAAAAAAATAACAGTGTTTTTCTCTATTGTTTTCTATAAAGAAGGCTGATGATGCTCAGAAGGTGAGTGAAAGACGTTTTCCATAAATAAAGAAAATCTGCTGGAACTAAAAGCGTTTTGAATTTACCTAAACAAAAATATGTAATAAGGTTCCGTCGCAGATATACAAACCTTAAAAGGAAATAATCACCCCTGATAAAATTATTCCTCAAAGATACTCCCATCCAAAAACTGAATGTCCGCTACCATGGGTTCTATCTCGATTCAAGGAGGGAACCAAGACACGACTAAACGTCAGGAATTAAACCAACGTTTCGGATTACTCTGCATGATACGTAATAATAATAATAATAATAATAAATTGGAACGGTGGTAGGTTGAGATGAGCTGGTGTCCCAGTGGACCAAAGTCACTATAGCTCTAGTGGTTAGAAAGCCGGAGTGCCCGGGGGGTCAAATTTGGGTTCCACGCTTTTCATCAACACTCTGCCCAAGCTTAGATCCTGTCAGTCATATCATGTCATGCAGATGACATCGCACTGTACTGGTCTTCTTGGAGAATACTATCTCTGGCAGATCAAATGACGATCTCACCGAATAAATGCGCTCTCGTAAAACGTAATAGGCTCGTAGTCTGCCACAAAATAACTATGGAAGGAATTCATTTTGAGTGGTCCAAGAGAATCACTTACCTGGGTGTTGAAATGGACTCGAGACTAAACTTCAGCGACCATATTAAAAATATATTGGGCCAAAGCAAAGCTGCCATCAGAATCCTTTTCCCGCTGCTTAGGAGAGAAGGCTTCAGTGTAAACAACAAACTGTTGGTTTACAACATGGTACGTTTTAAGTAAGTTTAAACCTACATTACTTCATGCCTCTCCATATTAGAGCCACACTTGTAAGACCATCTTGAACGAACTCCAGGTTGTTCAGAACAAATTCTTCTCACAACAAACTAGAAGTTTAAAAATTACCACGTACCATGAGATCATGAACGCTACCTGCATTGCTGAAATGGTTCATGGGACGGCAAATAAATTCTTTCTGGTGATTAAAGAGTCTCAAATTTCACTATGTCGTCCTATTGGTTAATACCAGCCAAAACGGATTATAGCTAGTTAGTACTTTAGTCGTTTGATCTTTGATTGTATTTATTTACTATTCATAATTTAATTATTGAGTTATTTATTATTTATTTATTTGTGGATATATAGTTATTTACGGTCGAACTTATTTATCTAATTATAAAATTGTATATACTCCATTACAGTTCGTGGTCCGATTGAAAAATGGCAAAATGGAGGGAAAATTCTAGAGGTGAGGTTGAGATGGGAAGTTAGTGTCCGAGCGGATCGAAGTGGTAGAGTAGCGGCGTATTCACCCGAAGGTCGTGGGTTCGAATCCCGCTCGTGACAACAACTTTTTCATCTCAACCAAGACCTTACATAAAAAGTATAATCTTTTATCATTTTTTCTCAATCTGTCTCTTTGTTATTGTTTCATTCTGCAGTTTCAACGAGTGATTCCCATTCTCTCCTCACTACCTCCTTGCGATAATTCTTATACGGTAACGGATTCTATGGATCCCAGTGCTGCAAAATGGCCTAACCGGGGGCTGCTTATTCAGTGCTT